AGACAATAGACAATAATGCCATTTTAACACCTCTCTGGGCAGCCTAATAACACATATTAGCTCCAGTCATGTAAGTGCAATCAACACCTTACCCCTATGATGCTTCTGACCCCATGCTGGTTATCATTAACAGATTATGTTTATTGAAGTGACATTCACCATATTTATTCCCAGATAATTTTTTGTACAAGTCATTCTGAATTGAGCAGGCTAGTCTGATGACCAGTGAAACGTCTTCCAGAAAAATACAGCAAGTCTAGTTGCCTTGATTTATTTTCTACAGATATATTATGTCACTGTACAAGTAGCTCAGTTTCATAATCAATCAACTGATAGGTGATTCGCAGACAGGATTTGTCCAGCCTTGCTGTCTCTTTGGCAGTTGCTTTCCCTGTTAGTTATGACTCTGTTAATGGTTTAGAATGAATTGCAGACACCTGTGCAATAATTTCAATGATAACCATTTTGCCTCAGGAATTATTGTCACACACTGAGTGAGAATAGATATATATTGATTATGAACCACATCGTTACAAGCCAGAATGCCTGCATAGGAGTCTGAAATAAGGATTGAAATACTGTAATTCGTAGGAATTCAGTTAGACAGATTCACTACTTGGCAATAAAACCATTGCTTTCTTGAACAGCTTCTAACAACATCAGAATCTAACATCATTAAACAGCATTGGTATCTCAGTAACCTCCTGCAGGATACAAGCACTTTTTGATAGTAATTCTTTGCCCATTTCCAAAGCTAGTTAAGCTGTCAAAGTTAAAGTGTAAAATATAGTGTTTGAACTTAGTCCAGAAGTTATTTAATCCCTTCCATGGATCGTTTATTCATTCTACACAGTGCTACCTAATCATTTACTGTATTTTACACAGACTAAAGAAGCTGCGTAAAATTTCTCCTAAATACAAAACTCTGTTGTACTAGAAACATTTTGATAATGCAGTTTTAATGTTACAGTAAAAAGGGTAACTGTACCTTTAACAGTACTGCCCTAATTCTGCTTTCTTTCTTCACCACAGCAAATTTGTGAATGCATGCATATACCTTACCTGAGTAAAACCCACAATTTACACTGCCCAATCAACCCCATCTCTTGTTTTGGTGTGAAAGTGCTGGGCAAATATTTTGCAATGCATGCGGCATATGCATAGAAACACTGGGGTACCAATTTGCCATCCTAGTCCTTGGCAGTGCAGACTGCAGGATATCTTCAAATAAGGCAATTGTTTGTGTGTACTAAGTTGCTGCAATGGTGGAGTAGGGCCTGAATCAATGTAGTAACATTAATTGTTTCTTACTTGTGTATAACTCAGCTGTAGATCCTCAACTCTTCTCTGAATTCATGCCGACACAGTTTTTCTTTCTGGAGGGTGGCTGCTTTTGATCCCCATGTTCCTTTTGTGTATTGTAAAGTAACTACCACTCCCAGCTCATCCCTGTGATAGACTACACACTGGTGATCATTTCTACCTATACAGAATATACAACACGAAGTAAGTGCAAATCTTTCCAGAGTGAAGGCGATCCCCATTTATGCAGTTTGGCTAAAGTATAGATTCTAGTATGGAATAGAGGAATGGATTTGAAAATTAGGTTTTTTTAGTCTTGTATTTCCTGAAGGTGCACTGGTCAAGTGTGGCCTCAGGAAATACAAAGGGGACACTCTTGCACTTTTCGTCAAAACAGACAAAAAGAAACTCAAGATCAACTTTGGGCTTTCTTGTTGTTCAATAAGTTATTAATAAGTTTTAGATAGCCAATAGTACAAAGATAGTGAGATATATTTTCTATGTAACAGTTAAGATAAAAGTGGATATATAAAGTGTATAATATGGTAACAATAAAGACATTTTGGTAGCATGACAATAAACACATTTAAATTACACCGGTAGCTGAAATACACAATGGAGGGTCACTGAATCACTTGAGATATTTGTCATGCTTTGTGGCCATGTGGGATGATTTGCCAGGTACAGCTAGAAGCTTAACATTGGAAGGAAGTATTTGGTGATACATTTGTAGAAGTTGAATAAGTAAAAGGAAAGAAAGAGGCAGAAAGGTGTAGGGATTAGGGCACAGCATAGGTTGGTATATCAATTAAGCATCATAGACTGGGAAGGAAGGTGATCAAAGTCCCGAGGAAGAAAGTGTTTCACCCACCTGAACCAAATTAATTCACATTTATCCATGCTGTCAGAATGTTTTGCTGTGATTTTCTAATTCAGGAGAGCCCAGGGTATCTGGTATGCCTCTTCCTGGGAGTTAAGAGTAGGGCATCGTTTTAGCAAATGTTTTCTTTGTCACTGTAAATATAGGTAATAAAAGTTGAGATTGAGGGTTAGTGATACAATCTGGTTTCCTAAGAAAGGGCTTCACTGGGGTCCTTGGTATATAATAATGTAAGGTAGTAGAT